AAGTAGAATGGTTCGCCTCTTTCTCCGCAAGTATATGATACCATAATGCACGACTATTTGTTGTTACGAATTGTAGATTTGAATTCGTACGTCGTGTTCTTCGTTTGAGACTTTGCTTACCGTTTTGTTCTTCTATCCATACTCTGCATTCTCCGCGCCTGTTCTGTTCCTTTCTTCACTTGCTAATATCATGTTTCCTTTTCTCTGACTCACTGACTGTCAATTTGTCTAGTTTCAAATTGTTTCATAGTCTGCCAGATCGCAGAGATCGTTTCCAGCATCGTAGCTCACTGTTACTTTTCGAACACATTTTAGCGTAGGCATTTTCACCAGTTGTGTTCACGTCATGCCCTATCAGCTACGCGTCATTATTGCGAGCATGCGCATTGCTTCTGCCTTCTGCCTTATTTGCATGCTGCGCTTCCTGCACAGGTTAGCGCCCCCACGCTTGCTGGCCGAAGCCCCATTGACCGTGCCGCGTTCGTACTCGCACACGTCAGCCGGGCTTCTCCACGGCGCCTTGCCCCGCCCCCGCCGGTTCCGTGGAGTTCCGGTTTTATTTCTCCTTGTTGATTAGCTCCCCCAAGATTGAGTGTTGTTTTCTCTATCCTTACCTAACTACAGTGAAACATCGTTAGGAAGAACACTGATAAGACAAATGTTTGCCTAAGAAGAACTAAGAAGAACTAGTATTCGTAACTGTATTGGATAAAACCCTGTGTATTCACTGGGTAAAATATATGGATAAGAAGAACTCCCGTTATTGCGAACAAATATCATCGGTCCCTTGATGTTCGTCCTAAAGAGGTTTGACTGTAATTCATTTCCAAGTATCAGTCCTTTTATTCCCGTAGCTATGCAGAAGACGTTACTTCAGTAACGTCTGGCGCTAGACAGGGTCCACACAGCTGTAATTCCGTGTTTGTTTGTTTGCTTGTTTGCTTGTGCCATCGGCATCCCTGGCGCTATCCCGTACCTGTCCCGTTCCGTACCATCAAAGACAGCTGGCCACAATGTTCAAATAGGGCTTTCAAATGCAAAATCATAAAGTGAAGCAACTTGGAAAAATGAGTATGTATGCGAAGGGTATCGGAGAATGCATGCAGGGCGATAGTGCGGGTTCGAATCCCAGTTTATGTCTTTTTTTTAATAGGAGAAATGAAACATTTATAACATACCTATGCTTTTTTTGCCTAGGTCATCAAGGTGGTAGACGGTGTCGTATTACCCTCGAATGCAAAGAGAAAGTTGACTCTCGCTAGGCAAAAAAGCATAGCGCAGGGCCCTGAGCTTCCAAGCTCTCTCGTTTACGCTACTGTCTGAGTCCGCCGTTGTGAGTGCTGTGTGCATGTGCGGAGTAGTAGTGGTGAATAATTGTTGTGCCTGCGGTACCATGGTTACACAACAGAGTGGTGCTGAAACCCGCCTTGGATTTGAGGATCGTTGGGTCGTTCGTGGTGTAGTGTTCACCTGTGTTGCTGCGTTTGTGGCAGTGGTCGATGCCCGTGCTTGTTTCTCGCAAGCAGCGTTTAGTATCATTATTCATAGTGTGTTCTGTTCAGTATGAGTCTCAAGCTGGACAATTTCCTTCGTCCCTTCAAGGGCAAGGGGGACGATTTCAATGCATTTCGCTCGAAATTTGGTGTGTTGGCCAAAATATCAAATGGACGTCGGACGATGACAAGATGAAACACCTTCCGCTCTTTGTGGACAGCGACGCGTTTCTGCTGTATGATGGATTGTCGTACACCGACAAGGCAGATCCAGATGTTGTGTCCGGCAAGCTGTCATCTGCGTTCGCCGTGACGAAGTCGCAGGCATACGGCCTGTTTGTACAGCGTAAGCTGAAACCCGATGAGTCGGTGGGCGCGTACGTCGCCGATCTGCAGCGGTTGCTGGGCCTGTCTGGTCACAGCGCGACTGGTGACGAGTATACTGTGGTCATAGAACAGTTCATCAGTGGGTTGCCCGTAGAATTTATCCAGCCCTTGCGTATGGCCACTGCTGGGAAGAAATTAAAAGCGTCTGAGTGTGTGGAGCAGGTGCGTGCTCTACAGGCTATGCATGCTGGTTGTGTTCGCAGTCCCATGGTGGTCGCCAGTGCGGCAACTGGAGGTACTGGAGGAGCGTCCCGCAGTGTATTTTGCCACCAGTGCCACGAGCCTGGACATATTCAGCGGAACTGTCCTCGCCGAAAGAGGCAACGTGATCGGTATGGCCGTGGAGAACGAACGTGCTTATTCTGCGACAAGCCTGGCCAGCGTGACGTAGGCACTTCGACAGCCTATACCTCGCCAACCATGGCGCGTCATGTGAAAGGCACCACCACACATACCTACACCGAAATAAAGCGTTGTGGACCCTGGCTAGCGACAGACGTTACTTTTAAAGTAATATCTTTTGCATAGCTACGGGAACGAGAGAGATTGGAAGCTCAGGGACCTACGCTATGCTTTTTTGCCTAGCTCATCATGCATGTTACTAGAACTGGTGGCAATGTTTTTTCATTGATCGGCTATAGTGTTTTACGTCGACAATGACGGCTACAATGCCCAACCAAACCACAACGAACTGATCGGCTACATCATTGTATTGCAAAAAGTTTCCATCAGTTCGAATAACATGCATGATGACGTAGGGCCCTGAGCAAAAGAAATAAACTTTCTCTTGTCATTGAAGGGTATTATGACACCGTCTGCCACCTTGATGACCTAGGGAAAAAATTATAGGGATGTTATGAATTTTCATTTCTCCTATTTTATTTTCAAGACATAACCTAGGATTCGAACCCGCACTATCGCCCTGCATGCATTCCACCGAAACACTTTGCATACATACTCATTCTTCCAAGTTGCTTCACGTTATGATCTTGCATTTGAAAGGCCTATTTGAATATTGTGGCCATGGGCCCATGACCAGCTCGCTTTGATGGCACGGGACAGGCACAGGATAGCGCCAGGCATGCCGACGGCACAAACAAAACAGACACACACCTTGATGGTACGGTACGGGATAGCGCCAGGCATGCCGATGGCGCAAACAAACAACTAAACACGAAATTAAAGCTGTGTGGACCCTGGCTAGCACCAGACGATACTTAAGTAATGTCTATTGCATAGCTACCGGAATAAATCATACTCATACATACAGTATCCGGATCAGGAACGGAAAAGAGAGAAACAATGCATGAGTGTGAAGTCAGCATGGAAAGAAGCAAAGTAATTTCCGGAGTGTTATCCCCCTCCCCCTACTCTGTTTGTGCACCCCTGTGAAAAAGTGCCTTACTTATTTTCCGATTGTAGTGTTTTTCATGCCATTCAACAAAAATACAGTCGATAGTCAGTACTAGAGGGTTATTAAAGGCACATTTGTCTGCGGTGAAGTCAGGTGTTCGCCCTTTAGATCTATGCTGCATTTCGCATTGCAAGACAGTTATTTTGAAAATGGAAAAAATGGGTTACGAGGTAACTGTTCCCCCCCCCCCCCCATACTATTTTGACCTGGCTAGAACCCATGGCCAGTGCTATTCATGAGGATATTTTGTTGGATTGTTGATTGTTTGTGTGTATTGAAGATCCGTGCAATCTTGCCCATGTTTTTTGCTGTCAAATCGTTCCGGTATCGAACTGAGTGTCCCCTCTACCACGGGCATGCACGGGCAGGATGCATTCACCGGGCTTTTTGTCATTGCCAGTAGCTACTCCATAATTGAGTTTCTTCGCAGCAGATCTCACCTTTGCTTGGGAGATCGACAGATGGAGTCCTTGGTCAGCCGATGTCAGCTGGGGGGGGGGGGGTCATTGCCACCCAACCGTGTTTCCACCCCAACGCATAGCTGCTGCTGCATATTCTGCTCTCTCTCTCACTTGGCCTTGCTGGATCTGCGCAGGCGTTGGCATAAATAGCGTGAGAAAGATTATGTATGATACAGGAAACAAGTAGTTAATTGGCTCTGCCCTCGTGATGTGGAGGACTTTTGCAAGTATTAGCAACTTGGCTGGCACTGCTGTTGCCAGAACAACACTATGAGACTGTGCTCTTACTATTAAATCAAAAACCCCTTCACATGCTCTACAGTCCATTTCAAAACTATAGACGCGTACCTAGGCAAAAACCGTTATGCCAGCATCTATACCAAATAAAATCTGTGATCACTTTGTGCATAAATTTTTCCAAATTGGGCGTCTGTTATCCAATCCTTTAGAAACTATATGAGAGTAATTGTGGAGCAATCCTGAGCAATATTCCGAAAACTATTCTCAAAAGGTTCCAACCAAATTTGAAATATTTCAAAAACCCTACGCGTCTATAGTTTTGAAATGCACTGTAGGTCACTATTAGAGGCTTGATCATTCCTATTCCTAATATCCCTTGCTCCGCGTCACTATAAGAGACTGGGCAATTCATTACGATGTTGTATTCTGATGTAAACTGTGGAACGATACCTTTCGGCTGTTGAATAATACAAGAAACCAACTCTCCTATTCTGACATGGTGTGTATTCTGACATGGTGTGTATTCTGACATGGTGTGTATTCTGACATGGTGTGTATTCTGACATGGTGTGTATTCTGACATGGTGTGTATTCTGACATGGTGTGTATTCTGACATGGTGTGTATTCCGACATGGTGTGTATTCTGACATGGTGTGTATTCTGACATGGTGTGTATTCTGACATGGTGTGTATTCTGACATGGTGTGTATTCTGACATGGTGTGTATTCTGACATGGTGTGTATTCTGACATGGTGTGTATTCTGACATGGTGTGTATTCTGACATGGTGTGTATTCTGACATGGTGTGTATTCTGACATGGTGTGTATTCTGACATGGTGTCTATTCTGACATGGTGTGTATTCTGACATGGTGTGTATTCTGACATGGTGTGTATTCTGACATGGTGTGTATTCTGACATGGTGTGTATTCTGACATGGTGTGTATTCTGACATGGTGTCTATTCTGACATGGTGTGTATTCTGACATGGTGTGTATTCTGACATGGTGTGTATTCTGACATGGTGTCTATTCTGACATGGTGTGTATTCTGACATGGTGTGTTTGGTGGGTAAGTTTGTTTTTAATGTGCCTTACAGTGATGCCTGTGATGGCAGCAGTGAATGTCGACCGGATCCTTTGGTACGCTACGGAGGATAAAGTGGAGGATCTAAAAGCAGCAATACTTGAAGGTGGTGTTCTGAAAGAGGAAATCAAACTCCAAAAGGACGCCAGGGGAGATCCATTGTTGGTATGCAGAACTTTAGAATGTGTTGACTTGGGCAAGAATGATCTTTGCATGAGCATGTGTTGCTGCATGAGTGTCGACCTGTGTGTGTGTGTGTGTGTGTGTGTGTGTGTGTGTGCGCGCGCACGTGTGTGCGCGTGTGTGTGTGTGTATGTGTGTGTGTGCATTCGTGCATGTGTGTGTGTGTGTATGTGTATGTGTGTGCATGTGTGTGCATGTGTGTGTGTGTGTGCATGTGTGTGTGTGTGTGTGCGATTATGGTCACACACGTCTTTCTTCTCTTTCTCAGACTCTTCCTGACTTTTCTTTCATTCTCCTGGGTGGTTACCAACAGCCAGTGCATGCCGGAGTATGTGGTGTGATGTGTGTGCGGGAAAAAAAAGAAAAAAAGACCAAAAAGTAGGGATTCACTGGCCAGAAAAAAGCCACTTCAAAGCTATGTGGTGTAGACCAGGCTGAATAGTGGTGGTCAATTCTTCAGCCTTGCAAGCTGTTGAATGGTGCAATCCCAGCACAAGTTGCTATGGCTTCTGCTGTAGCATCGCTATCATCGCCTCTGGCGATGGGCGTCCAATGGTCCAATGGTCAATGGTGTGTGTGTGTATATCTGTAAGTACGCATATGTATGGTGCAGTGGTATGTGCAGTCGATTTCCAATCGAGAGGTTACGGGTTCAATTCCCGACGATCATGGTCACATATGTCTTTCTTCTCGTTATCCTTCTCCTTGCTCTTCTTTCATTCTCCTGGGTGGCTACCAACAGGCAGTGCAAGCCAGAGTATGTGATGTGGTGTGCAAAAAGAGAAAAGACAAAAAAAACTGAAAAACTGGAAAATAGTGATTCACTGGCCAGAGAAAGCTTCAACTAGCCGTGTGGTGTAGACCAGGCTACAATTTAGTGGCGGTGAATTCATCAGCATGCAAGAGTACATAAACCCTGCATAACCTCTATACTGTGCTGCGACGGCAGAACTTCACATCACGTGACATGGATCGAATGGTTACTCTGGCAAACAGTGCAAAGTGACTACCAGAAAGTTGAACCCAAAGCAGGGTTGCGTACAACCCTGTATCTATCATGCACAGGGTGCAAATAATGTGTCTGGGTTCGTCACGTGATGTGAAGTTCCGCCGTCGCAGACCCCGTAGTTGGGGTTGCACACTCTTGGAGGGTTATGCACTCTTGATGCGTGGCATGCCAAATGCGGCTAGTTTTTGTGGTAAATGTGTTGTACATGTGTTGTACATGTGTTGTACATGCTGCTGCACCGTCTTTTGCTGCACATGGGTTTTCATCTCCCCTTTTTACATGCTGCTGTACCGCCTTCTCCCCCCCCCCCCCTCCCCATATACATACTTTCTGTACTTGTCCTCGTTCGGGACTGATCGTAGCACAATTTGCACTTCTTTCGCTTCCACATCCGCACCTTTCCCTCACGCCTCAATGATATGATTGATATTCCTTGGTCTTGTCTTGTGTCTTCATGTCATTCGTCCAGTCATCTCCTCAAATTCTCTTCAAAATGTACTCTCTCTAGCCAAAACTGTTGGCACTTTGATTGGCGTGGTCGCGAGGGGGTAATAGCTCGTCACAACCTGGACGACATTTCTCAGTTGGTAGAGCATGAGACTCTGAATCTCAGGGTCAAGGGTTCGAGCCCCAGGTTGGGCGGCAAAGTGAATGACGGAGTTTGGAAGAAGTTTAGTGCGTGTATAAATTTGTCAATGTCAATTCATGCATGCACCGACGTAAAGAAAGGAAAGAACAGGACGGTCCGAACAGTGTAAAATTGTTTTCAGTATCGCCATTGTGAAGAGCGGTATGTAGGTGAAATGGTGCAACACTTGCTCACACGCTTTCGTCAACATGTGTCTTTACATCTTGCCCCCCCCCCCCCCCCCCCCCTGATGCACGTGACACCCATACACGTCGAGGTTGCTCACGCAAACATGTTGCTGAGCTATTGGATAATTTGTCAACGATCCGGCCTCAGGCTCTGTGTGGTTGTCCGTCCTTGACTTCCCCCTCCTTTACGGGCATGGTGGGCAACCTGCTACACCACTGAAGATCTCAACGGAGACGTAGGAAACTGCAAGAGTCACAAGGAGTCAAGAACAAGACACAGTGGAAGTGATTCTCAGACAGCAACACTGGAAGTGGCAACTACTGTGAACTCGAGGAAACGGTGAAGGTCACTGGAGAAGACCAAAGTGAGCTGATCTGCAATGGAATTATCTCATGCCAGAAGGTCATCGGGAGCCAGGCTTAGAGAGGCAACAGACGGGTCGAAAGATTAACCGAGGTGTCCAAGGCAGGAGAAAAACTCAACCAGATGGACGTGGGATCTCAATGGTCACTTGTCAAGCAATGTTAGATGTCGTGAGTTGAATACAGATATCATGTTACGTCTTTCGTCACTCGTGGCAGATCAAAATTGTATGTTGCAGTTTCGGAAGCATTGTACATTCGTAAGGTGCACCCTGAGCTGTGTGTTCTAAAGGATAATGTGTTGTTTTTGTAGTTACATGTTGCTAGTCCTCATGACTGTGTTAGTTGTACCATGGGACGTATTCTCCTGCCTTCTTTCTTTTTCACCCACTGAGTAAATGTGCTTTTTAGTCCCCTGGTTCCATCCTTTTCATTCTCACTTCGCAAAGTGTTAGATTTAATCTTTTACAAATTTGTTGTCTTTATATTTCTAGTCTTTGAATTATTTCAACATTCCCTGTATTGCCTTGTAAGGAAGGGAACAAAAACGTTTGGCAATTTTACATGTTCAGATCGTCCTTCTGCCTGGTTCTGCTGCGTTGGCGCATTCGTGAATTGTCACGAGGGAATGTGTATGTGTTTAGATTATGTCCCTTATCCGGACATTCTCCTCCACCAAACCCCCTGAAGACAGCCCAAGGTGTGCGGGTAATTGGCACTCCACTGTATTGCCCTTTAAAATAAATTTTGCCATTTGGTATGCTGCATTGTTTCATGACGAGCATACGGGAATCTTGTTTTTAGTACAGAAAGAGCGAATTGTTTAGTGCTCTCTGCTCTGTTTGTTATTTAGTGCACAGTGTTCGACTGCGCTGTGTTTTGTTTTCTTGCAGGCAAAGTTGCTGAGGAGTGCCTGCAGAAGAAATGCTACTTCTGTTGTCAAGTTCCTGGTAAACATTGTTGGCAGGAACGTGCTGAACGGTGCAGGGGAGGTCAGTTGGCCTTGGTATTAGCAGTTAGGGACTCAGCTGAGTCAAAGTGGACTCAGCGTGTCAAGTTTGGCATAATACAAGAAGCATGCTATCCCCAAACAGTTGTGTGGTTATTGTGTGAGTGTATATGCAGGAGTCCGCGGTCACGTGAGGGGGGAGTGATAATAGAAGGTTTCTTTTGTTTATTACTGCTTATACTTATTGCTGCATCACAGGATAAATGTACACCACTTCACTGTGCCACTGATGGGAACAAGGCCGACTGCGTTCTGCATCTACTGCATGCCGGAGCTAACCCAGATCAACCCGATATAGTAGGTTATGGAGATATTTCAATATACTATAGTACTCTGATAATAAATTTCTTGGAAACTCATTGTATGAAGAAAACAAAGAGTATGTTGGCAAACTGCTGGAAAAGTGCTCAATGCGCCAGGTACAGAGCTTTTTCCCAATGATTATTCCCTAGGTTTTAATGCTAGTTTTCTCATGACTGTTTCGGCATCAAAATTTAAAAGTCACAACAGATCCCAATTGGATCCTTCTCTTCTCCCTTCATCAACAACTGTTATGTGATGGAATCACTATGTGCCCTAACTCTGAGTGTCATGCTGCTGGTGTCATGAATGTGGTTTGTCGGAGAGCACATTTGGTGTTGGGTTTGGAAGTATTCTGAAATCGACAGGCTCTAAGCTGCAACTCGCACTCGTTCATATCAATGTATCCCCACCGATGAACATGCGGCACACAATATGTACAAACATCTCTCATATTGAGCCATGCTCTTTGTTGCCTTCTTGCTAAACATACACTTGTGTTATAGTGTGGAAGGACACCACTTCACTATGCCAGTTGGTGGGGTCATATCGACTGTATGCGGCATCTACTGGACAACAATGCCAATCCAAACCAACCTGACCTAGTAAGTTGCATCTCATGAATCATTTTAATAAGCAAAACAGTGAAACTGCTGCCCTGTGTTGCAATGGCCTTACCCACTGCATCTCATACACAGGAACACTGGGATGTGAAGGAGAGCTATGAGATGAACTAATTCATTTTTCCTGATCCAAACCTGTCCGATTATGAAAGTTGAAGAACATGTGTTCTACCTAGTATTGTGATATGCAGTGTAGAGACTATGTATTACATACAATATTGTGGACACACAAGTACATGTGACTGAGAACTTCTCTGTTTGATTTGTAAAATATACTGCAGTAATCACACCATCAGAGTGATACAACAGTTTTACCCTGAGTGCTGCAAGTTAGATGGAAGTTTCCGGGGGAGGAAGGAGGAAACTAGTTATCACCAACCCTCACCGCGTCCAGCTCACGTTGCTACCGTATGTGACCTGAGTTGGGCGCCCTGCCGTGCAGTATAGAACTGTCCTCCAGCCAGTCAGGTATTTGGCAGCCCAGTGACCTGTCTAACAAATCGCAGCGTTTAGAAGGGCCAAATGCGGCAGGGCCAGTTTCAGGCTGGTCGCGTAGGCGGCGGACTGGTGGGCGACCGGCAAGACTGCAGTCGCATTTGGATCACCGAAGTGATATACATATACAGGTGCTTTGACTGCACCCCGTGGCGCATCGGGGAGGCTTCTTGGGCCTAGACAGCCCTTAAGCGCACCACTGTATCAGGTATGCGCAGGTGGAGCAGCAGAGCAAGATGTGTGCCGGAAACTCACCGTCATCCGGTCGACTTCACGGTTGTGACTTTACACAGCCGCCACTCACTACTTGTTATGGCTTGCAGAAGGCCAGAATTTTTTTCTCGCTCTTACCCTTCTCCCAGGCACGGCTTCATGTTAGAGCAGAAATGAGCAGTTAGGGACTCAGCTGAGTCAGCGTGTCAAGTTTGGCATAATACAAGAAGCATGCTATCCCCAAACAGTTGTGTGGTTATTGTGTGAGTGTGTATGCAGGAGTCTGCGGTCACGTGAGGGGGGAGTGATAATAGAAGGTTTCTTTTGTTTATTACTGCTTATACGTATTGCTGCTTATACTTATTGCTGCATCACAGGATAGACGTACACCACTTCACCGTGCCACTATTGGGAACAAGGCAGACTGCGTTCTGCATCTACTGCATGCCGGAGCTAACCCAGATCCGACCGATATAGTAGGTTATGGAGATATTTTAATATACTATAGTACTCTGATAATAAATTTCTTGGAAACTCATTGTATGAAGAAAACAAAGAGTATGTTGGCAACATGCTGGAAAAGTGCTCAATGCGCCGGGTACAGAGCTCTTTTCCCAATGATTATTCCCTAGGTTTTAATGCCAGTTTTCTCGTGACTGTTTCGGCATCAAAATTTAAAAGTCACAACAGATCCCAATTGGATTCTTCTCTTCTCCCTTCATCAAAAACTGTTATGTGAAGGAATCACTATGTGCCCTAACTCTGAGTGTCATGCTGCTGGTGTCATGAATGTGGTTTGTCGGAGAGCACATTTGGTGTTGGGTATGGAAGTACTCTGGAATCGACAGGCTCTAACCTGCAACTCGCGCTCGTTCATATCAATGTATCCCCCACCGATGAACATGCGGCACACAATATGTACAAACATCTCTCATATTGAGCCATGCTCTTTGTTGCCTTCTTGCTAAACATACACTTGTGTTATAGTATGGAAGGACACCACTTCACTATGCCAGTGAGTGGGGATATATCGACTGTCTGCGGCATCTACTGGACAATAATGCCAATCCAAACCAACCTGACCTAGTAAGTTGCATCTCATGAATCATTTTAACAAACAAAACTGTGAAATTGCTACCCTGTGCTGCAATGGTATTAACCACTGCACAATTCTCCACAGGAACACTGGGATGTGAAGGAGAGCTATGAGATGAACTAATTCATTTTTGCTGATCTAAACCTGTCCGATTATGAAAGTTGAAGAACATTGTGTTCTACCTAGTATTGTGATAGATAGTGTAGAGACTATGTAATACATACAATATAGTGGACACACAAGTACATGTGACTGAGAACTTCTCTTTGTTTGATTTGTAAAATATACTGCAGTAATCACACCATCAGAGTGATACACCAGTTTTACCCTGAGTGCTGCAAGTTAGATGGAAGTTTCCGGGGGAGGAAGGAGGAAACTGTAGTTATCACCAACCCTCACCGCGCCCAGCTCACGTCGCTACTGCATGCGACCTGAGCTGGGCGCCCTGCCGTGCAGTATAGAACTGTCCTCCAGCCAGTCAGGTATTTGGCAGCCTAGTGAGCTGTCTACCGGATCGCAGCGTTTAGAAGGGCCAAATGCGGCAGGGCCAGACTCAGGCTGGTCGCGTAGGCGGCAGGCTGGTGGGCGACCGGCAAGGCTGCAGTCGCATTTGGATCACCGAAGTGATATACATATACAGGTGCTTTGACTGCACCCCGTGGCGAATCAGGGAGGCTTCTGGGGCCCAGACAGCCCGTAAGCGCACCACCGTATCAGGTATGCGCAGGTGGAGCAGCAGAGCAAGATGTGTGCCGGAAACTCACCGTCATCCGGTCGACTTCACGGTTGTGACTTTACACAGCCGCCACTCACTACTTGTTATGGCTTGCAGAAGGCCAGAATTTTTTTCTCGCTCTTACCCTTCTCCCAGGCACGGCTTCATGTTAGAGCAGAAATGAGCAGTTAGGGACTCAGCTGAGTCAAACTGGACTCAGCGTGTCAAGTTTGGCATAATACAAGAAGCATGCTATCCCCAAACAGTTGTGTGGTTATTGTGTGAGTGTATATGCAGGAGTCCGCGGTCACGTGAGGGGGGAGTGATAATAGAAGGTTTCTTTTGTTTATTACCGCTTGTACTTATTGCTGCATCACAGGATCAATGTACACCACTTCACCTTGCCACTTTTGGGAACAAGACCGACTGCGTTCTGCATCTACTGCATGCCGGAGCTAACCCAGATCAACCCGATAAAGTAGGTTATGGAACAAACAGTTCAATAATTATTATTATACTCTGATACTCAATCTGCGGACAGCATGCTGTTTCGTTCTTTTTGAACTCATCAGCGCAGCACAGAGAAAATGAGGCCGAACCTGATAGCAATGAAAATAAAAATTTCCAATCAGGCCCGAACGTACCTTGCCAGAGTGCTCAAACTGACAAGTCAGTGAGCTCTGCATAACGCAAACAGCAAAGGCACTACCCCACGCAAGAGTGCTCAAATGCTACAAGAGCAGGAGCAAAATACTCAATCTGCGGACAGCATGCTGTTTCGTTCTTTTTGAACTCATCAGCGCAGCACAGAGAAAATGAGGCCGAACCTGATAGCAATGAAAATAAAAATTTCCAATCAGGCCCGAACGTACTCTGATATAAATGCATTTCCTGCGAAGTAACTGTAAGACTATGCTAGTAAACATACCATCAGAGTGATAGACCAGTTTTACCCTGAGTCTTGCAAGTCAGTAGAAGTTTTCTTTTGTTTATTACTGCTTATACTTATTGCTGCATCACAGGATAGACGTACACCACTTCACAAAGCCACTTTTGGGAACAAGGCCGACTGCGTTCTGCATCTACTGCATGCCGGAGCTAACCCAGATCGACCCGATAAAGTAGGTGATGGAACAGCCATTTCAATATACTCTGCTAATGCATTTCCTGCAAACTAACTGCATGAAGAAATCAAAGACTATGCTGGTAAACTGCTGGGAAAGTGCTCAGTGTGCCGGGTGCAAGTTTTTTTCACTATGATAATTCCGTAGGTTTTAATGCCAACTGTCCGATGACTGTTTCGGCATAAAAATTAAGTCACAACAGATCCTGACTTTACCCCCTCTCTCTCTTTCAATAAAAACTGTTACACGTATGCGAAGGAATCACAACGTGCCCTAACTCGAAGTGTAATGTTGCTGGTGTTGTGAATGTGGTTGGTCGGAGAGCACATTAAATGTGCTCTCCGACCAAAATTTGGTGATGGCTTCGGAAGTCTTTTGGAATCAACAGGCTCAAAGCTGCCACTTGCCCTCTTTCATATCAATGTATCCTCCACAGATGAACATGTGGCATTCAATGTGTACAGCCACCTCTCATAGTGAGCCATGTTCTTTGTTGGCTACTTGCTGAATTTACACTTGTATATAGTGGGGAAAGACACCACTTCACTCTGCCAGTGACTTTGGTCACATCGACTGCATGCAGCATCTACTAGACAGCAACGCCAATCCAAGCCAACCTGACAAGGTACGTCGCATCTCATGAAGTAAATAACTGAAATTAGCTGTGAAACTGCTACCCTGTGCTGCAATGGTCTTACCCACTGCACACTTCTCCACAGGAACATTGAGACGTGAAGGGTATCTTTGAGATGAACCAATTCATTTTTAATCTCGTGAATACGTGTTTCGGAGACAGTAGCATCAAAGTGGCAAAATGATAGCATATCGTGCATGAACTATTGTTTATCTGTGGGCCAAGGTGACAAACTAACATGAAGCATCATCAGAGAGACACCTCGGGAGAGAGGGACGAAGACACACAGAGAGAGAGAGAGAGAGAGAGAGAGAGAGAGAGAGAGAGAGAGAGAGAGAGAGAGAGAGAGAGAGAGAGAGAGAGAGAGAGAGAGAGAGAGAGAGAGAGAGAGAGAGAGACAGAGACAGAGACAGAGACAGAGACAGAGAGAGAGAGAGAGAGAGAGAGAGAGAGAGAGAGAGAGAGAGAGAGAGAGAGAGAGAGAGAGAGAGAGAGAGAGAGAGAGAGAGAGAGAGAGAGAGAGAGAGAGAGAGAGAGAGAGAGAGAGAGAGAGAGAGAGAGAGAGAGAGAGAGAGAGAGAGAGAGAGAGAGAGAGAGAGAGAGAGAGAGAGAGAGAGAGAGAGAGAGACAGAGAGACAGCGAGACAGAGAGACAGAGAGACAGAGAGACAGAGAGACAGAGAGACAGAGAGACAGAGACAGAGAGAGACACTCAGAGAGAGAGAGAGAGACAGAGAGAGAGACAGAGAGAGATAGAGGCGGGGTTTGTTTCCTAGAGGTGGGTGACTGCTCAAAGGTTTACAGAGTTTTTTGTTTGTTTGAAGTTTTATTTTACATCGCAAACCAAACGGGCATATATGCTCAATATTATGATGGCGATAGAATATAAAAAGAAATGTGGCTCGATAAAGCTGTACTCGAGAAAATAAGACAGTAGTCAATGGGAAATATATGTACTGGAAATTACGGTAATTGCAAACCAAGTTCGAATAGAATTAACAATCGGGGGATAATGGGAAAATGAGGGCCGACGCCAGAGGGAGGTACTATTAGGCTATATTAACCATAGAAAAACGCTTTCAGCAATCTTTTAAAGGGGAAGTATACCCTAAAATCAAATTTTCACCAGTTGTAGTCTTCTGGGTGCTGAGTCGAATGGTCTTGGTCCGAGGAAGCTGCGACGCTCCCTTCCTACTTGAATCCCAATCGAACTCGCGCACTTCCACCGAAACTGGGTGACTGCGCCCTACTAGATGGGGATTTGTATGCAAAATGTCACTAAAAGCGCCATTTCGTTCTTATAAAAGCACGGATGACCGCGATTGGCCCATATGTTGTAGTCTTTTGGACGCTGAGTCGACTGGTTTTGGTCCGAAAAGGCTGCGATGCAGCGTTCCTCCTTTATTCCCAATCGAACATGGTTGAACAAGCGGTCACGTGCTCCTGGGTGCCCAAATCACCTGGTCACCGCGCCAGCAGGCGACAACTTTCACACCAAGGTTCAACTCGAGTTCAACTCGAGTGACAGGACTGCACCCAAAAAAGGTCAAACAGGTTAGTAAGTTGTACCCTGCAGGCACGGTGACCAGCTGACTGGTGTACGCAGGAGCACGTGACCGCTTGTTCAACCATGTTCGATTGGGAATAAAGGAGGAACGCTGCATCGCAGCCTTTTCGGACCAAAACCAGGCGACTCAGCGTCCAAAAGACTACAACATATGGGCCAATCGCGGTCATCCGTGCTTTTATAAGAACGAAATGGCGCTTTTAGTGACATTTTGCATACAAATCCCCATCTAGTAGGGCGCAGTCACCCAGTTTCGGTGGAAGTGCGCGAGTTCGATTGGGATTCAAGTAGGAAGGGAGCGTCTCAGCTTCCTCGGACCAAGACCATTCGACTCAGCACCCCGAAGACTACAACTGGTGAAAATTTGATTTTAGGGTATACTTCCCCTTTAAACGAGTTTGGACAACGAGTGGACGTGAGCTCCTGTGGCAGGGTGTTCCAAAGCTTCGCTGATGAGCTATGTATTAGCGAAACAGCTGTCTGACAGTACTTCACACTTTCCTTTTCCCGCGTTATCACCTCAGCTATGCCAGTTTTGTATGTGGAAACCCCTATATAATAGCAGTTTGGTCTATATTTTTAATCATTCAACATTTACCTTCACTGATGAGCTATTTATTAGCGAAACAGCTGTCTGAAGGAGTTTATCAATATCGTCTACGGAAGTGTCCTCGCAATGGTGATGGTTGTGTGCAGGAGGGTCTAGTCGGCTAAAGAGCGCAGTGTGGTGGTGGAGGTGACTCAACATTTTCTTCAATGGCCGAGAGCTCTGTCGCACCCTGTAATACTATAATATAGTACTGTTTGAAACTCGGATGTTGAGCCATAAATAAATGTGGAAGAGAAAAAAGACATATGGATACGAGTTAAGAGTAACTCTCCATCACTGTAACATGATACTATATACAGTCTTGAAAGTGCAATAACTAAGCACAAAACTGACGGAGTACTGAAACATTCGACGTCCTGACACCTAGCTTCAACACATCTCCGTAGCGCTAACCGACAGCCTTCCAACTTGGAAGGTTCAAGGTTATGGAAAGACCAAATAGGGGAAGGCAAGCGCAACGACCATAACCTTGAACCTTCCAAGTTGGAAGGCTGTCGGTTAGCGCTATGGAGATGTGTTGAAGCTAGGTGCCAGGACGTCAAATATTTCAGTACTCTGTCAGTTTTGTGCCCAGTTATTGCACTTTTTGACTGAATATAGTATCATGTTACAGTGATGGAGAGTTACTCTTAACTCGTATCCATATGTCTTTTTTTCTCTTCCACATATAGTACTGTGATAATATATTTCTTGGAAACTCACTGTATGAAGAAAACAAAGAGTATGCTGGCAACATGCTGGAAAAGTGCTCAATGCAGAGCTTACAGAGCTTTTTTTCCCAATGATTATTCCCTAGGTTTTAATGCCAGTTTTCTCGTGACTGTTTCGGCATCAAAATTTAAAAGTCACAACAGATCCCAATTGGATCCTTCTCTTCTCCCTTCATCAAAAACTGTTATGTGAAGGAATCACTATGTGCCCTAACTCTGAGTGTCATGCTGCTGGTGTCATGAATGTGGTTTGTCGGAGAGCACATTTGGTGTTGGGTATGGAAGTACTCTGGAATCGACAGGCGACTGGCGACAGGCGGCGGAAACCAATGGTATGCTGTCGCCAGATGTTCGCTGAGTTAGCGGCACAACGTATTTGCAATTGTCATTGCCACGGGTGTTACTGGGAGGTTAGAGGTTACTCCATATTTCAGAAGAGAGCTGATGCTGCTGGTGTGGACATGGTGCATAAGGAAACAGAGTTTGCATTTGGCACGTTCAATTACAGGGAAAGGCGAGTGTATAATATTATAGGAGTGGTATTAGACGGGAAGGGCAGGTTGGCTACGCAGCGAACACATCGCTTGTCAAGGACAGTGAGTTGCTGCCGCTGGTGAGCCGCGAGTGCAGAGAAGAACACGTTTCAGTGGTGTGTCCAGGATTTGCCTGAGGGGGGGGGGGGGAGGGGGGTTGCGGCCGGGATCAAGGCGGGATGGGGTGGGGGTAGATGACATCATGCTACTGTACCAGGTCAGCCATTTTGAAAACCGATGTCAAGAAGCTCCTCCTGTAGCCCCCTTCTTCAACAGTAATTCACCCGAATGGCCCCAGAGACTGTTCCGGAGGATCAGCGCACCACACGGGGACAAGTGTCGAACTTGCTTCAAGTTCCCTTTCTTCGTGGGCCTGCGAGACGATCGACCATGATGTTTCGGAGAAGCATTCTCTGGAACGCTCTCCTTTCTGATTTTAGAGTGATACGTGTCCCTGGTCCCTCCCGAAAAGCTCTTTCTGCCATTGATATACTTACTTTGTGAATATCCTCGTTAAACTTTTATTATCTGCCATAAATTCCAACCTTCTCATCTATCAATCATTTGTGCATGCATGTCTATAAAATCAACCACGTGTTCCTGACTCCATGAAATTGTCTTTTTATTCTTTGAATCCATGAAATTATTGTCTTTCTATTTCTGACTCCATGAAATTGTCTTCATATAAAAATTTCCTTTTCTTCTTTTGGTCCTTTCTGTCTTATATTATTATCATTTCTTGTTTTCCCTTGCATATCATCCCTTCATCATTCTGTGAGAACCTGTCCTATGGGCAGGTGAGAAGGCATCTCTGCCTGTTCATTTGGTGAAGTAAAATAAACAACAACAACAACAACAACAAGCCGTAAATCTCACACACCACGAGCAGTATTTCTGTACACGCAGCAAAAATGTTCATTGTAAACTTCAAATTTGCCGTTATGTGAGCGAATCAACTGCAATTATTTATGCGAGTCCAACAATTTATCACCGCTCTCAAAGCATCCTTTACATAGGCAGCGTACTTGTCACTGTGCACTGTTCTTCATGTTCTGGCTGCTCGCTGACAACAGGTTCTTCCACGTCTGGCGGAGTGTGACTGTCAGTCCGCTCCGAAAGTTCAACTGGAATAACAGCGACTTCACCACTCCCACTGTTTCCTGTTGGACCGGCAGCAGGAGTTGCGCTGCCACAGGAACGCTTTACAAAAATTCCAGGCTCTGCTGGCTAGAGCTTGGCCTTTTGGGATGTCGCTGAGACATCGAAGAAAAGTCTTCGAGTCAACCAAAACACGATTCGAACGAGGATGATCGCCTGAGCCCTCGGCATTCGAATCGTGTTTTGGTCTATTCGATCGAAGACTTTTCTTCGATGTCAGGACAGACATCCCGTCGACTCCAAAATAAGCGTGAACGGGCGATTCAGCGCCGGTCACAGGAAACGTCGGAAGAGAGATCCCGTCGACTCCAGAACGCCCGTGATCGGCAGAGTCAGCGCCGGTCCCAGGAAACGTCAGGACAGACACCCCGTCGACTCCAGAACGCCCATGATCGGCAGGGTCAGCGCCTGTCACAGGAAACGTCAGGACAGACATCCCGTCAACTCCAGAACGCCCGTGATCGGCAGAGTCAGCGCCTGTCACAGGAAACGTTGGACGACACAAATGCAAGAAATGAGCATAGGAGGCTTAATCGTGCTGATTCGCGTCGTGCTACTGCAGCTGCGCACATGGAAACTCCAATCGGCCAAAGTTTAATGACGGCGAAAAGGTTCGCTTCGAGATCGGCCAAAGTTTCTCATCGGCCAAAATTTGTTGATTTGCAGTATAAGGAGATAAAAAGAAATGAAGGAGTAAACCCAAAGTGGATGAAATTAGAGAAAAATAACAATCCGCAATAAATTCTGCAAATACTTTTGCCTAACTCATATTCAAACTGATTGAAACGTTTTTGCAATACAATGATGTGGCCAATCAACGGAAAAAAACCTTTCCATCAGTTCTAATAACATGTACGATGAGCTAGGCAAAAAAGCATAAAAGCATAGCGTAGGGCCCTGAGCTTCCAAGCTCTCTCGTTGATTGCGGTTATCATTTTTAGTGTTCCTTTTTTTTAAACATTTGCCCTGTTCCAGAATGGCGACACTCCATTGGACATTGCGGCGAAGCAGAATGGACCGCGTGTTGTGAAGTATCTAGTCTCCTACGTACTGCGTAAGACAACAAAGGATCAGGTAAGACACGAGCGCTTTTAAAATCACTTCTGCTTTTACAATTATTATCAGTGGAAGGCTGCAGATAGCAATATTCCAGCATGTGTCTGTGCGGGTGCGTGTGCATGTGAGTGATGTGGTGGGTGTGAGTGTGGGTGTGGGTTTGTGTACCAAATGCCTCGGTTGTAGGGTATAGTTATGCCAAAATAGTGTTGAGTCTGGTGCCAACGGACTTGACTCCTTGAAGGTGTATTGTTGTACCTGCCACCTTGGTGAGTTTCAGGGTTCCCATACTTTCTATTTGAAGTATACACGGACTGGTACGGCCTCACAGCTGAATGTGGCGAGTGGATCCAGTCCATCTCGGATGCCATTGTTGCACGGCGCTTGCAACTTGATACGACAGTCAAGTTGGACAGTCTGTGAGCGACTTTTGCCAGTCAGTGCGGACTTCGTTGGCACAAATGCGGGGAAGAGCGTCTGAAGCCCACCTGTGAACAATTGGGTGCTGTGTGTCGTTAAACGCGTCATCGTTGGTTTGCCAGCCGAGGCGGACTTGAATTGCACAATTGTTCTCCCAGCTTTGGTGAGGCTCCAGTTTCCAAGACAGATTGTACCTCGCCCACCTGATTGCAGCCAATGTCAGCTCCACTTTCACACCTGCAATCGTTGTTTCCGGAGCAAAGCGGGGCCTGCCGGCGCAACTCTAACCGCAGATCATGCAGTTCTCTTTCTAAACACCGCACAATCTCGTGCCTGACCTGTTCTCTGAAGTTCACATGTCCCCGGTTGTTGTCGCCACTCATGTTGTCGCCACTCACCTGTTCTGTAATTGTTTCAAGACAGCCTCTTGAATGATTCTCGTTTTGACCTTACCTTGTCTGTTTATTTATTCATCTTCCTCTGTCTCTGAGTCACATTGCTGCGAGCGCGCACGTGGAGATGCTCCAGTTTTCAGCCATGCTATTGTTCTACTGACGCTGATAATTGGAATCATAATTCTCTCCTTCTGTCTAGTCGTGTTCTACTCTGCTTCTCTGTCTCTCTTCTATTCTGTTTCTGCTTCGAACGTGTAGTTGTTTGAGCTGCTCTCATGATAATTTATTTGTATTTTTGAAACCCTTTGTACCCGCGATCATGCGCTTGTACAACTGTGCTGTGCTGTATGACTGAGCTATGACTATGAGTCATGCTCGCACTAGCTATGATGCCTTTTGTGTCACGTGTCCGTGTATGTCGTGGCGCAAGCGCGCTGTGCCTTTGCTGGCCCTTTTTTGCTTCCTTTTGCAGTTTTGGTTTTAGAGTTATGCCGGTTATGGTTGAAGTGTGTTTGCAAGGAGAAATCCAGAACGTCTAGTAATGGTGTGTTGTCCCATTTGCGTTCGGAGAGTGTGCCTGTGCACGTGTATCGGAATTTGAATTCTTGCCTGGAACATTTGGTCCTTCGAGCCTTACTTCGACTCAACCTTGTAGCTTCAGTACAGTCTTCTTTCGTAGTGTCAATTTGTTTTGTTTGTGATTGTCAATTTAGTCCGGCCGCAGTTTCAGTAACTGTCAGTCTAGCAGTAGTGTCATAATGTCTTACCAGGTGCTGCGTGCGTCGTCCAGCTCAGCAACCCGCCGGCGACTGCTTCAAGCGCAGGCTCAGCTAGAAGCAGTGAAGAAACTTCAGGCGCTCGAGGAGCAGGAGCTGGCCCGCAAAAAGACGCTGGTCGATTTGGAACTAAAAGTTGTGCTGGCAGAAATCGCAGATGCCAGCAGCAGAGCAGGCAGCTCAGTCCTCAGTGGACTTACCGGTAGTAGTAGGAGCCTGGCACTGCAGCCAGCCCTTGCCACTGTTGTCCCTAGCACTAAAGTGGCACGCGTAGCAGAGCGGGTGAGGACCGGGGTAACCCAAGACGTCTCCTACGTCCCCGATCAGCCGCCCATTGTTGACACAGCACAGTCCGCCTGTGCTGCTGTGGAGAGTGCCTCTTGTACCCGGGAGCTGTTTGCGCAGCACAGGGCACCGCCAGGCATTCTGCACCCTGCGGAGCACAGGGCACCGCCAGGCATTCTGCACCCTGCGGAGCACACATGTAGTGTAGCTGCCCCTTCAGACAGTGCTCCCCCGCAGCCGGTCAGGCATCAGGTCACATTTGCAGCTGGCCAGCCTGCTTCTCAGTATGTAGCGCCTCCTGCGGTACGCCAGTCAGCGCCAGCTCCGCCTGTAGGCCAGTCAGCGCCAGCTCCGCCTGTAGGCCAGTCAGCGCCACGTCCAGTAACCCGCTTAAACGCGGAGGCAGCCCCATTCATGACTGTACCCATGACGAGCCTCGGTGATTCGCCAGGTGCTAGGGAGCTGCAACCCCGACAACAGCTAGATCGTGCGTGGTCCGAGCTGGTCATGAATGAACAAGTGCTGCACCAGACATTGGGTCAGGTCCCACAAGCCAATCCGCCGACTGCGCGTGCTCCACCTGCACCACCTGACGTGGTGAATCCGAATAAACCCGGAAAGTTGAGATTGGTCTTTGACGCGGCGTCAAAGACAGGTGGGAGGAGCCTTAATGATGCGCTGCTCTCCGGGCCAGACCTGCTCCGTCCACTGCCAACGGTTCTGTTCGGTTTCCGGGAGCGCCGTATTGCGTTTGGTGCCGACATTGCCGAAATGTTCCACCAGGTTCAGATCCGTGAAGCCGACCGAGACAGCCAACGGTTCCTGTGGCGGACCGATCAGAGTCAACCACCTGATGTCTTCAGGATGAAGTCAATGACATTTGGCGCGACGTCGTCCCCTTCGTCGGCAATGTTCGTTAAGAACCACAATGCTCACAGCCACCCGCAGACGTCGCCTCGGCTACAGACTGCCATAGTCGAGCGTCACTACATGGACGACTACTTTGACTCAACAGACACCGTTGAAGAAGCCACCTCACTGTCTGCTGACGTCATCCGCATCCACAAGGACGGAGGCTTCGTCATCCGTCATTGGATCAGCAACTCGCCAGCCGTTCTGGCATCTGTACCAGAAGCGCTAAGAGCCAACACGACAACCATTGACCTTGATGTTGAGCATGCCCATGCTGTTGAGCGAACGCTTGGCCTGCGCTGGGACACAGCGACAGACACGCTACGAGTCCAGCCAGCCGCAGCAAAGATCAACCGCCCTGGAAAGTCCATGACCAAGCGGCAAGCTCTCAGCACAGTGATGGCGGTGTTTGATCCGCTCGGACTACTTGCCTGCTTCACCATCCGAGCCCGAGTACTACTACAGGACAT